TATAAATTATTCATGAATGGATAACTTACAAAACTACAGTACTTATACATTTTATTTCGACCCATGAGTGTATTAGTTTATGTATCAAGTACACTATCTGTCACGTAGAAATTTTAATTAAAAATGTAATTATTAAAACGTATTTATATATTTGTTATATATTAATACTAAGAATAATATTGTAAGTATTAATTTATATTAAAATACTTAAAATAAGTAAAAAGAAAAAAATGGATAAAAATTCCAGTTTCGCTCATCAGAGGGTGTTGTCGGTAGTAGAGAGGAGCCGACGGAATCGTCCACAGATTTAAACTAGAAATTACAAATTTGAAAATAATTCAGGGAAACGTAACAAATGATGGCTGAAGCAGCTGTAGAAAGACCCAACACAAAGTATTATTGTCATAAGTGCAGTCAAGAGATCGATCCGGTCATACCAGTAAGTTCACAGAACGTTTCGTTAACCCTATATTCACGTTATATAAAGACATGTAATTGGTTGCATATACGACAAATTCTATTCTCTGACCAATGATGTGCGCCGTTATTGAATCGATATTCGGTTGAACATCCTAATTAAAATCTTACCGTAATTAAGTTGAGTTTTTTTTATATTTTTTTAAATCATTTTTGAGGAATTTAAAACTAAACATCTACTCTTTATGAGAAAAATAAACTCTTTTCAGTGTTAACAAAATGACTCAAAAATCACACTTATCAAAAGTACTTCCCATCCATTCTTAGTTTATTTTTCTCCTGATTAGTAGAACTTAGTATCTTTCACTTTTGATCAGTTATATTATCAATTCGCATGCAATAAAGTTATATTGATGATGTAGATAGCTCCACAAATTCATGAATGTTACTATTAAATTCTATTCCTTCAGTATACAGAAGTTCATAAATTTACATTCTTTGCTTAGTGATGAATGTGAGTTGCTGTGGGGAAAGTGTATAGATTTCATTGCATTTATGTTTGATATTAGTATATTTTATTTTAAAAATAGATTCTTGATGTTGTTTATGTAAAATTGATAACGCCATATAGAAAACAAAGGCAAGAGATGTAATAGAATATATCTAGGGTAAACATGGAGAAACCAAAAAACATTATGATGTAAATTGTACAAAAAGTCTTCAAAGTTCTCAAGCTTGCTAATTAGAAGCTATTTGTACATTCCGGTTTCATTCTCTGCACAAACCGTAGTGTTTTCTTATGTTTTTCTGCATGTTATTTGTAAGCTGATGTTGGAAGACTGTCTTCAGCTAATTTTAGGTCTTTAACTATTGTAAGGCAAAGTTAAGCATTTTCGGTACCGCATTCTCTCCATCTTGTATTTGATGGTATTTTAATAATGCATAATATTAGTTGTAAAAAGTTTTGTAATTATTTAGTAATTAGATACAGGTAAAAAATTCAGTTTAGTGTGTTCTTTAAAAAAAAAGGAAAATTTAATTATGTTGTTTATTGGTTAAGTAATGGAGTTGAGTCACTCTCCATATATATACATTTATAATCTATATGCATTCATAACAGCAGATGTGTTAATGTGAATGGGAAGAACACAGCCATATGTATATTCAGTTTAGTGTTAATGTAGAATATATTTTGAGATATACAAGTGTAATAGTGATAAAGTAAGTTCTCTGCTTTTGTATGAAGATGTTTGACTCTCTCTGTATACTCATTAATTTACAGAATAGTACAATGAACTCATTACAAGTATATTGTAAACAATTTAAATTTTTATATATCTTAAAACCTTGCCTGTTATTATATATAAGCTGCAATAGAGAAAGTTGTAAAGAAATGTTGATTTTTTTTTGTGGATAAGAATTTTATATATAGGATTCAAGAATAAAAATCAGTAGGAGGGGAACAGAATCAAGAATAACATCATTTATGTAACATTCACTGTCCTAGGAACTAGAGTTAAATTGTATGCCATTTTGTTGGACATTTTTGCCAATTTTTATAAAGCTTTAAAATTATTATTATTACAGAGAAATAAAATGTGATTAAAATATCCATATTTAATTTTATCTGATATTGGCTAGACTTTGACTATTTTTGGCAAGCATTTGGCAGTTTTTGGTTACTTTTTGATGTGCTCTCGGCAAATACTGAATGAAAATACAGTAGAGCGTCGTTTATCTGAATCAATTGGGGACTGGGATTGTTCGGATAACCAATTATGTACGAAAAAATATATTAATTTATCCCGTGTTGAAATTTTTTTCCGTTGCATGTCGCTTTGCATTGAATTTTTGTTGATGTTAAGCCTAATGAAGACTATTGTATCGTTAAAAATTATTTTTTTATTTTGTACAAACAAAATAAATATATTGAAAAATATAAAAACAATAAAAAATTATACTTCAGAAGTTAATTTAATATCAAAAACGTAAAATATTTGAGTAGCCGAAGACATAGCCAAAGATTACAGCGCCACAGCACTGGCGAAAATTTAAACTTGTAGACGAATTCTTTCGGATAACCGACCTTCGGATAAACGATGCTCTACTGTAACTGGCAACTCTCTGTCCTTTATACACACAATTGGTTTATTGTAATAGTTTTTTCTGACTGTTAGTCTTATGCATGGGCTGCATATGCTGAATTTTAAGAATATAATCTTGTATAAGCTGTAGCTTATAGTCAAGGTTTTAGGCTAGTCTAATATAAACAGAATTTTTATGACTGAAATCTAAATTTTATTGATTTTGCAGACTTATCACACCTTGTAGAATACTCAGTGAAAGGGAGTCAGAGACTAGATAGAAAAGTACGTGCTTAATTGGGACAATGGTTCCCAATTAGTGGTACGAGTACCCCTGGGAGTACTCGAAATTGCATGAAGGGGTACGTGCGGCAATCTAAAATTGGTCGATTTAAAATTTAATTGTATGAGATGAAGCAATCAAAAAGAATAATGGGTGGACCATCAAAAATTTGGCAATTTACAACACGATGTCGAATGCACAAATTCGTTTATTTATAACTAAAAATATTCTTGAAATTTCATCAAAAAAATGCATTTGTGACAATACCTAAATGAAATTTTTATGCAAGAAACAAAAATTGTACAATTAACACAATTTGTTTTCACAAAATTAATTTTGAAAATTTTTGTCGCTGTTATTTCTCGCGCATGACAACGTGACTTCTTGCAGAATATAATGAGACTTCACTTGAGTTTAATAATCAGTTGTGACATCTCACTTCTAAATCGGGCTAGAATTTATGATGTCAGCGAAGCGACAATAAAATATTTACTACCATTTTGCACAATATATCTCTGCAAGAGCAGATTTTCTGCCATGACAAACATGAAAACTAAACATCTTCACCAACTTCAACTCGAAGCTGACCAAAAAGTAACCAGATTTTACAAAGTTGTGCAAAGAAAATCATGCACATTTGTGACATTAAAATTAAATACAGTTGACCCCCCTATAACATGTAGATATGTTCCGGTTTTTATGAATCCATTTTCTACGAGTCCTTAAGTACATGAGCCAATCACAGCCCGGCACGTATGCAGTTTACGGACTACGGCTGTTTGAAAGGTTTTCTTCCATAAAATTAATCGATTCTAGACTAATTTGACTCAACATTTCCAAAATACGTATAATTTTTTGGGAACAATCCATATAAACTATGCTATAAACAAAAAATTGTAGGATTGCTTATCGAGTGTGTACTGTTTGACGACACCATTGCTTAAGCTTGTTTTCATCGTGAGCTTGTCATCGAATGATGCTTGTGTGCTTCCTGATAAATTATTTTTTTTTGCAAAAAATTTGCTGAACTTTGGAGAAATCATTAATATAAATATAAATTTTTATGGACATTAAATAATAAATGGTTTTTAGTAGGTCTGCTGCTCGTTTAAACTCAATGGTTTGTACAATATCCGCTATTGGTCTAGATTCGACCAATCCTGTCGTGACACGAGTTGGCTATGACATTTTATCAAATTATACGAGTTTTTTTAGCGTGTTTGTACGAATACTGTCTCAATTTTTTTACTGTCATATAGGAATCTGAACTATATGAACCTGTTTCATAGGGGTGTACTGTAATCTTATGTTATTTTTATTATTATTAGAGTTGTATTTTAAAGGTAACAAATGTAAAAAAACTTATTCTATTTATCACTAGCTGTCTACCCACAGCTTTGCCCGCATTATATCGAATTTTCTCATGGGAGTAAGATATTTTCTTGCAGTAAAATGTAACCTATGTTCATCTCCAACAAGTAAGCTATCTCTGTGCCAAATTTTATTAAAACATGTTTAGTGGTTTAGATGTGAAAAGGTGACAGACAGACAGAATTGCCTTCAAATTTATAATAATAGTATGGATTAATATGGATTTCTGCTATAAGGGGTACACGAGTTTTAGCTCTTTCTTGAAGTGGTATGCAGGAAAAACTAATTGGGAACCACTGGTATAGGATATGTATTTTAGACACATGTTCTCTCATCAGTCCAATCATCAAGCTTACTAACTACAGTAAAGCGTCATTTATTCAAATTAATTGGGGACTGAAGTTGTTTGGATAACCGATTATGTACGAAAAAATATATTAACCTATCCCATGTTGAAATTTTTCTTTGTCATGTGTTGCTTCGCGTTGAATTTTCGTCGATGTTAAGCCTAACAAAAACTTTCTAAAATAATAATCGTGGCTATTGTANAGTTAGTCTCGCCTATACTGGAAGGATATCCTTATGCTCTGACACACCCTTCAGACCTAATATCACTCCTCAAGGAATTATCAGCAACTCCTAGCTTCATAACGGTATTAGACTTTAAATCACTCTACCTGTCTATTAAACTACCGGCAGTATTTTGCGCCGTAAGAGACCTCCTGTTTAACATGGTTAATGATAATAGCTTACACTAACAGATACTAGAATTGGCACATCTTATCTGTTATAACTCTTTTTTCCAATTCAACGGGATCACGTACGGCCAAGGAAGAGGCGTCCCCATGGGTAGCCCCATCGCAGGGGACCTATGCGAAATAGTGGTCAGACAATTAGAAGATATAGTCATCCCTCAATACTCACCTAACATCTTACTATATAAACGATACGTGGATGATATTCTCATCTTATGGAGGATTGAGCTGGATGTTTCAGGGTTCGTTGATTCGTTCAATGATAATCCATACGGCCTGACCTTAGAGATCGATCAAGCTCACGCTTCTGAAGCCCATTTTCTCGACATCAACATCAAGTTCGAGCAAACAACTACCCGTACAGAAGTGTACCGGAAACCAGGGGCTGAGCATCTATACATTCCAATAGGATCGTGCGATCCACCGAACTATAAAATGGCAGCCTTCAACGCCTTAATTAGGAGAGCATACTCGCATTCATCGGATCGGATATCCCTACATGCCGAACTAAGACATATTGAACAAATAGCCAACGAACATGGTTATTCCAAGATCGTACGTAAATTGATCCGCAAATGGCGCTGCCGAGAAGTAGCCCTTAACCAAGCACCCAAGGAAGTTCCATCTAACATCATCCCGGTTACATACAATCCGTACCTGAAATCAATTTACAACACAATAGCAAAGAAAAAGAATATTCGCATCGCGTATAGAAGATGCGCCACAATTTTTGACATTTTACGGAACGGGAAAGATACCCCAAACAGAGAACGACGCCCAGGGGTATATACCATCCCAATGATTGATCATAGATGGAACAGAAGCCTGATATACGTAGGATCCACTAAGCGCTCCTTAGAGGTGAGAATTAAAGAACACATGGCGGATATTCTACATGCAAGGCAAAACACCGCTCTTGCCGTCTATGCCTCGGATACGGAAATAGAACCGTTATTCAGCCAGGCCAAGGTAATCCGCACTACAAAGTACACACACCACCTTAGATGGCTAGAGGCCCTGTACATATGTATGGCTACGCTTAAAGACGACAATTGCATTAACAACAAAGACGAGATCATCCTGTCAACTGCATGGCAGGTGCTCGTAGACAAAAAGTTACGTTAATTTAGAACCAGCGAAGGGGCGCATGCGTCAATGACGCCAGCGATACGTACGAGAAAATTCGTAATGATGTTCTTTTTTTCAATCAAATTTGAATGGCGTTCGCTTGGACATGTTACCTGAGGAAGAACTTAAAGTTCGAAAGCGCTAGTAATACTTCGTTTACAGAGAAGCACACCGGAAACAGGTTCATTGTACGTTGTTTTTTGATTGTTTGTACAAAATAAAAAAATAATTTTTAACGATACAATAGTCTTCATTAGGCTTAACATCAACGAAAATTCAATGCAAAGCGACACACAACGGAGAAAAATTTCAACACGGGATAAATTAATATATTTTTTCGTACATAATTGGTTATCCGAAAAATAAGTTATCCGAACAATCCCAGTCCCCAATTGATTCAGATAATCGACGCTCTACTGTATTATTGTTAAGCATTCAAACAGTATCTATAAGATTTTTACAGTTATGTATTTACAAAATCAACACACCTTATTACTGAGAAAGTACATTTATTCTGCTGAACAAATGTTTTTAACCCATTCTATGGGCCATCTTCAGGTTAAAGACATTCGAATCCATAGTGTTTCGAACAACAAGTTCAAATTTAAATAAATTACATTAGAACATACGTAATGAATTGAAATTGAATTAAGTAAACAAATACAATGGTACTTCGGTATACGTCTGCTTTAAAATACGTCCAATTCGGAATATGTCCTGTTTGGACGAAATAAATTTTGCTTGGTATATGACTTTTGTTCGGTATACGACTTAATTCAATTATACACGCTGTCTATGAACAAGTAGCACTATCGGTGTGCTAGACCAGACTAGATGTTTGCAGTACCACAGTTTATAACTTTGTTAAATTTCTTTTGATTTTAATTTGTAAGTAAAATTTTATTATTTTTATTAATTATGAATTGCAAAAAAGGGAAATGAAAAGCAACAGAAAAATAAAAAAATGACTAGAATCACAATGTAACTGAAAAAAGAGATTGCTGAGAAATATGAAGGTGGCATGTGTGTTTGAGATTTAACTGTTGCATGGAAATGCTGAAGGTAAAATGGTTGCATCTTTATAGTTTAGACATTTTTCTGTTTAGCTAGATCTGTAGATCTCATATTTTTCTGCTGTTGATGCAAGGGTTGGTGATTCAGGTGCAATGATTCTGGCCTCTTCCTATTTAGCCATGGAGCCATCAGTCTGGCTATCTTTGATAATGCTGTTGTATATCGAATCTTTGCTACGTCGTACTTATGCTCTCTAACTCTTTTGTTCACGTTTCTATTTATGACTCCTATATATTCCTTGTCTATCCCCAAATGGTCGTTCTTGTATGGTATTGCGTACACTCCTGGTTAAGATAATGCAGACTGGTGGCTCCATGGCTAAATAGGAAGAGGCCAGAATCATTGCACCTGTACACTCACCAACCCTTGCATCAACAGCAGAAAAATGTGAGATCTACAGATCTAGCTTAACAGAAAAATGTGTAAACTATAAAGATGCAAGCATTTTACCTTCAGCATGGAAATATATAATCAGAAAGAACTCGTAGGATGATACATTCAATAGGTGCAATAGAAAGCCTGAGATACTATAGATTTTTTACATTATGTACATATTTAATTATTGTATTTTATTTTATTTAGGTTATTTCCTTTATTGTATTAATTTCGTTATATTTGTTTGCTTAATTCAATTTCAATTCATTAAGTATGTTCTAATGTAATTTATTTAAATTTGAACATGTTCGAAATGCTATGGATTCGAATGTCTTTAATCTGAGGATGGCCCGTAGAATGGGTTGAAAACATTTGTTCAGAAGAATAAATGAACTTTCTCAGTAATAAGGTGTGTTGATTTTGTAACATTAAAGATTCTGAGTGTGAATAGGAGAGTTATGTATTTACAACTTTTTTCATAATCACCACAGAATTTTTTATCTAGAAAACTACATTCATCTATTTAATTTTAAAAAAACTATTTTACACATAAGTATAGTAAGATTAGCCAACAAAACAAGAACATTATCATAGAAACAGCTTGATAAAGAGGTAAAACCATAAAATTATCAAATATATATATATATATATATTAACTTTAGAGGAATACAACAATAATCCATGGTGGTGTTAATATGTTCTTAAAAAGTGCCCATAAATTTAAAGGTTGTTTTAATGTATTGTCTCTTTTGAGAGTTTTTTAAAATAAATTTTTAAGTTTAAATTTAAATTTTGTTTAATTCAAATAGATATAATTCAAAAAATAAAAAACCTTTGGCTGTACACAACTATATTTGAATTTGTATAGTACTTCTGTCTCCTATATAGTTTTTATATTAAACAGAATTATTTATTAACTATTTTACTGGGATTCATATTGGACTAAAAATAGGAAAAAATTGTTTCTATTTTTACATTTATTGTCATATTAATATTACAAGTATTGATGATTCAAGCTGTGTGAGAGTTATTTTGATAATTGAAATTGTTTTTCCATTTAAATAAATGTTATCAATTTAAATTAACTTATCTTTCTCAGCTATCATATCTAATTTTATGAATGATTTTTTTACATATGAATCATTGGTATTTTTGAACGAAGTTTTAAATTTATTATACCAAATAAATATATTGTATGATTCTAAACTGAAAATTGATTTTTCTTTGTAGGACAATTGGATTTTTCTTCCCAAAAGAGAGTTAACCATTGTAAAGACTTAATTAATTGATATATTATATAAATACTTTATTACTTAAAAGCTTTGAAAGAATTATTTAAAATATAATTTTTTTGTTTAATATATGAATTATATTATTTTAATAAATTTAATTAATGATTTTGAATATAAAAACAAATGTGGATAACTGATTTTTAGCCATCCTCTATGTTGATATCTATGAAATGTTTTGAGAATTAGAGTTAATTTTTAACATTTTTATAAAGATGAAGCTATTATGTATTCACAGTATAACTTAATAGTTATAGGATTTCTGAAGTTAAAGTTTAATTATAATTTAAATTGAAAAATATGTAAAATTGTATATAAAAGTTATGTAGTAACATTGTTTATAGAGTATATTGACATAGCAATTTTTTATTAGAAACTGATAATACTCTTAGTAGTTATTAGTATTTAATAAATAAGTGACAATCTGAAAATGCAAATTACAATATTTGAAGTGGAGCATTAGCGAAGCTTCTATGAGGCTTGCAGAATTGTGTTTGTTCTCAAAAACTGTTTTATAGATTTTGATTAAACTTTGCCATTTTCCGTTAATTGCAATGTGGAATCCAAAAATGCAATTAAAAAATGGGGGTCCATGTCTTCGTTTTTAAGATATATAGTTGTTTCTCAAGTGTGTGTGACAAAGCGATATTGCATGAATAGTATGACTTTGTCGAGTGATGTTTTACAGTTGCTATCATGCTTATAGAATTGAGTTTCTTCTCAAAATTTATTGAATTGATTTTGATAAAACTTTGCCATTTTCAATTAATTGAGAAGAGGAATACAGAAATGTAATGTGGATCCATTTAAATGTAAAAACTCCAGCATTGAATCACTTAACTTTTTTGGCAGCATTTAAAATTCTGCTGGCAGTATCTGTTATGATATTTTATTAAAATTATTTACATTTCTAATTATTATAAATTGGCAAAAAGCTTAATTTTGAGAGTAGGGATGGGTTTTATAAAAAATAGTAAATGCTAATAACAAGTAAAATACTCATTAAGTCTGACCTGTTCAAGATATGACACACGACCACCCTTTAACTCCCCACTCCGTAAACTTTAAACCACAATAATTTAATAGCATGAGTCTTTCTAATACACAAACCTCCATGCAAAATTTCAGAAATTTTTGAAAGCACTGGTGTTATGAAGTCTCAAAGAGAGTAAACAAAATTTTGCCACATAGAAACACACACACACTATCTAATATCCATACATATTAGATGCATTCAAGTTCTAAGGTCTCCCATTTTTTTCTGACAAAATACTTACACAAACAAATTGAAATTCTGTTACTACTTAACATAATCTCCCTGCAGACGTACACATTTTTCACAATGTCAATGCCATGACGTCATGGCTGCTGCAAACACTTCTTTAGGGTCTGTTTTGACCACTGGAAAATCGCTGATGCCAGAGTGGCATGACTGGGAAATGTGTGACCATGGAAAGCGTCTTTCATCATCGGAAAAAGCCAAAAATCAATAGGAGCAAGATCTGGTGAGTAAGGAGCATGAGAAACTACCCCAAAGTTGTTCTCATGAAGAACTCCTGTGTTAACATTGCTCGACGAGCATTGTCTTGATGGAAGAGTACACACACAGCCTTTTCCAGCCAGGTTTTTCACAATGCTGGAAGCAATTTCCTTCTCAAAACATCTTTGTAGTATGTCACTGTAGTGTACTTTCGAATGCAGTGATTGAGGATTATGTTGTCACTGTCCCACCATCATTTTCTCAGCACTGGTGGTATCCCAAAATTTATTCAGTGGAGGTGATGCAGTGTGTTTCCATTGTGCCAACTGCTGCTTTGTATCTGGATTGAAAAACAGCATCCATGTCTCATCCATTGCAACAACTGATGAAAAGAAGACATCATTTATGCAATCATCACATGTGAACATTGCCACGTGCACAGCCTTGTGGTCGTCTGTCAGCATTCATGGCACCCACCTGGAGGACACTCCTCATTTTCAGGTCTTCATGCAAGATTATGTGCAGATTCCATTGAAATGCCAATGTTCAAGGCAACATCTTCCACAATCATCAATCCTCTGAAAAAACTTGCTCTGCATGCACACAATCATGTTATCAGACCAGCTGGTGCATGGGAGTGGATGTTTTAGTTTGTTGTCACACGATGTTGTGGCCCATTATCAGATACTAATATTTTCGGCATGCCATACCTGCAAAAATATTCATTATACATGCAATTCACTACGGTTTCTGCGGTAATCTTCCGCAGAGGAAAGATT